AAAGCAATGGTTTTGTTAGAGGTAGTTTTCCACCTTTTAAATACTTGTTGACTAATGGATAAGCTACCTTCATCTTAATCAAAAGAAAGAGGACGTTGGTCCCATTTCTCAATCTGACTCTCTACAAAACCCAACTTCTCCAATTGTAGTTGAATAATAAACCTGGATCCATCTGTCCGTCTGTCCGTCTGTCCGTCCGTCTGTCCATCTGTCCTTCCTTCCTTCCGTCCTTCCTTCCTTCCTTCCTTCCTTCCTTCCAGATAGATAACATGTAACCTTTCAAATGTCATTGGACTATAAGTCCCATCATCCATCACCATTGGTTGTGCTGACTAGGAGTGGAAGGAGTTGCAGCATCTGGAGAATTACAAGTTCCTCACACTTGTGCTACGAATGGCTGGATCAGCAAGAGTTATCTATTTAGGGCATAAGCTGAGCATGTGCATCCTGCTGTCAACAGTCTTTAACGGCCACCATGCAGACACACACTTGCCACATGGTGGGAAAATAAACACATGTACAGTAAGCAGGCCAGGCTGCCTGGCTTCCTATTGAAGCTCTGATGACATGGGTTTTGATCTTTAGGCGCCTTCCAAATCTGATTCTATGAACAGGTTGCTGAACTTTTCTGGGATGCCATTTCCTGAACTGCAGGCGCATTTGGGTTGCCAACTGGTCTGCTCCTTCCCCTTTTAATGCATTGGTAGCGAAGCTAGAGTCACATGCAGAAATTAATAGCTGACCCTGTTTACAGACCAGTCCTGGAGATTCGTTTATCCTCTGCTAATTGCTTTGGGGAGGAAAACACTGTCAGAGCCGCAGGAGCCAACTCAAAAGATGGTAACAGAGCTGATGGGGTGTGTGTAGTTTCCACAAACCCTCAATATTTTTATGGGTCTCCAGATACTGAATTCACAGGGCTGGGTCCCTTTGAAGACGCACCCTCTATAGCACCATCTCTGTAGCTTCTCAAAATAAAGCACGGCAGCTGCTAAGAAGCTGGAACCAGTGGCAAGCTAGAGAGAGGGCAGGCAGGGTGTCTTGTTTTAGGGAGAACAGTCTTCTGTTTGAAGAACTGCCAGAAGAGCATCCCGTCTTTGAAGATGCCTTCCAGTTATAAGGTTGTCCAGAGCAAATTGGGTTTAAAAATAAAGAACCATAAAGAGGTGGAGATTAGGCACCCAGAAGATGATCGTCCTGCAGATGGGAGATAGCAGCCTCAGCAAAGGGTGAATAAGTTACTTGGATACACTCTTTGTGACTTGCATGTGATGCACTGTAATTTTTTTTGAAAGTATAACAGCCATTTATAGTGGTCTATAAAAATGAACCTAAGCCAGTTTTATGGAAATCACTGTCCTCTTCTGCCCTACGTTTCCATGTCCTCCTTTTGGATGATGGGGTGAAGAAGCCACCCTAGAAGAAACCTCAGGATAAATGCGTGGGAACCATGACACTGCTTGGGTTTACCCATATTTACCTGGACCCTTTGAAATTGATGCTGTATGAGTGCCCTAAGAAATCCTGGCCCTTGAGGTCAACTGTCCTTTTGTATAGAACCCAACCCAAGATCTTGCAAAATGTTCTCGAAAAGTCCTTAGGGGAAACCTTTTTCTCCTCTTTACCTTAATTCATTTTCAGAGAAGTGTGCAAGGGAGCTCCCAAGGGCCGCATTCAGACCACGGGAGGGCCAGATCTTAGTCTGCCCACCTTGCTTTAAACAAAACTTACAGGGAAATAAATATGGGCTATTCAGTTATTCCCATTGGTCAACACAAAACACAATTCTGCCCAGCTGGCACCCTCAAAAAATTTTTCCACGACCTTCCAGAAGAAAATATCTCTTTAACAATCCTTCAACCCAGGATTTTGCTGGAATCTCTATTAATAATATCCAATAGAAAAATATGTCAATCTAAACATTATTTTATTTACTTAACCGGTTCTCCATACGGCTTCTCTCTCCTCGTTTTCTCCTACTTTGCTCTCCTATTTGGTGATATTAATTTCAAATCAATCAGCTGGTGGGTTACATAACAGTTGCTTATAACTTCTGTCACATCAACCCTGAAGTGAATCTGTAGCCTGCTAACATTATGTAAAGACATTTTCCCCTTAATTGAGGAAGGAAAGGGGGCCGATACTTGGAACAGCCTTTTCTTTCTTTCTTTCTTTCTTTCTTTCTTTCTTTCTTTCTTTCTTTCTTTCTTTCTTTCTTTCTTTCTTTCTTTCTCTTTCCCAAAAAAACCCCCACTCTCCTCTCCATTATGTAATGATGTCTCCTTCCCCCCTCACCCCATGGTTTTGGAATAGTTTACGCAATGCATGGGTTTGTTTACACTGTTACAAAAATAGTTTTAATCTGGATCCTTCAAAAATGGAAGCTTAGGGGAAAACAGAACACCAGAATCCAGTTGAGGCACTAGAGCGCATGCCTTTTTTGGGTGTGGGCATCAGCTTTTCAAAACATGAGTCGGTGGCAAAAAACACACCAGTGTCACAGAATGCAACACTTAGGAAAATCAGAGGCAGGCTTTAATCTTTCATGCCAGAAGGAGGACCACGTGAAAGCTTCCTAGGCAAGGAGTCAAATCATTTTGGGCTGCCGAGAAGTAAAGAATAGTGCTACTATTGGTCTAAGATGGTTGTCTTTATGTCAGGATCTGGCCCGCACCACCCTGGCAGTTGCAGGATCGGAGCCAGGAATGGCCTGGTGTTTGCAGGCTGGGGCCCTGGCCTGTGTAGCAGCTGCTGGGCCACTCATGAGGCTCACCTGGAAACCTGGAGGGAAGGTCTACTGAAGGAGTGGTTCTCCTTCACAGAACTAGCCTCAGCAACCAAGGTCTTTGGGTGGGCTGTGTCTTGCTGCTCCTGAGCGCTGGAGTCCCTGTTCCTGTCTTGGCCCCTGATGTTGTCTCTGCACTTCTGTGTTTGGCCTCCAGAGTTTCTGCATCTGCTCCTGTTCCTGCTGGCCTCCTGCATCTCAGCATCTCGTTCTGGCTCCGTCCTCCCAGCCCTGCACTCCCGTCTCTGCTTGGTCACAACCAACTACACAGTGAGTGCCTTTGGACTTGATACTCTGCATGGTGGAGTGGATCCTGGTGCCCTTGTCCCCGGTGAGCTGTGGTTCCCAAACCTTGAGCCCCCAGATGTTCTTAGAGTACAACTCCGAGAAATCCTGGCCAGCACAGCTAGTGGCTTCTGGGAGTTTTGATCCAAAAACATGTGGGGACTCTGGGTTGGGAATCGCCAGTCTACAGGAATGAAGGATGTTGGGAAAGAACAAAATGGAGGGGGAAAGCAGTGCCATCATTAGAGAGGGATGCAAAATGAAATCAAAGAAAAATGTTGTCACAATTAGAAAAGGATAATGATGTTGAGAGGAAGAGGATGGGGAAAGGAAAAGTATGTAGAAAATGTGAGTAGAGAACAGATTTTAAAAGGAAGAACTTCAGTGCAAGGTGAATTTGAATGTCTTCAGAGGCTATGGAAATTGCCTTTTCTCTGGAACACACTAACAAAATTATTGCTGAACCTTCTGCTGTTCTCATAACATGTTAATCTAGTTAAGATACAAGGCTAGGGAATGCAATTATAGGATAGACTCCCATTTCTGTCTACAGAAGAACTGAGGAGAAACAACGGACATTGTGTGCTACAGCCGATGGCTTTCCAACTGGACTACAACTCCTATCAGTCTTAGTCAGATAATGGTGAGGGATGATGGGAGCTGGAGTTCAGTCTCTAAGGGTCTGAGGTTACCCACTTCTGCTGTGGAGGATTACCTACACCTTTTTTCCAAAGCCCAGTCCATTAGCTGCCAGACCAGTGGAAAGACCCAAGAAGCCCAGCTTTTGCCAGGCATTTCACTTGGCTTTATCAGTTGATTTCAGTGGGGGGCCCCTGGAAATGTATAGAGGAGTGGTGGGGGGGAAGGCTCATCTTTGTTTTCTTCAAGCTGAGACAGCAGCCTTGCATCTAACAGAAAGCACCTTCCTGGCATGCAGGGACAGGGGCTTGGTGGTTTTCATTGCTGGATCAATTCATTTCCACAACGGAAGGATGCTCCAGGCTTCAAGGGCCATAACAGGAAGCAAGAGCTTGAAAACCTAATCCCATACACAGTATTTCTTTGAAACATGGCCCCTGTGCAATGCTTGAGTGAGCTGATTTGGTAAAGGCATGAACTAGGGCCTAAAGAAAAAGCAGTGGTTGCATCCTATAGGCTGTCCAGATGCCTTCAATTTCAATTCATGCTGGACTTCACCCAAGCACAGATGACAATAAGCAATGAAGAGAATTGGGACTGTGGAACAATTAGAAGGCCAAAATTTCCTACACCCTAGAATATACGATGGAAGGAAACCAACTCCCTGCCTTTTGCAAAACAGGATTCAACCAACAGGCCTAACCTTTTGGTGTCATCTGTATCTGGTGTGTATTTTTAAACCACTGATGAGAACCAAAGCTTCCAGCTGAAGTTATTGAAGCTTTGCCGATGGGCCAGGCTTGCACGAAGAGAGTAATTCGCATCATTCTGGTTGCAAATCCAACAACTGTGTGTGCAGCGGTTTTATTTGCAATGAGCCACATCCACTCATCATCTAAGCACATGGAGCTCTTACAAGGGAAGATACTAGCCCTGCCCCTCCATCAGAGCTTTGAACATATAGGAGACCAATGACATGAACAGAGCTATATAACAGGAGGTATAAAACCTAATAGAGCATAAGGAAAGAATTGCTAGGCTTTAAGTACATCTCACCTCCTATTCACCCTGAAAGTTCACTTAGCCAAAATGATAGTTTACATTCCAGACAGTCTCACTATTAGAGAACTTACTTAGCCTATGAAACTGTAGATTGGCCTTGATCCATGTATGCAAAAAGTTCTTCATCAGCACAGCTAGCATTTCATCCTAGACACCATAAGGCCCACAGGCCTTTTGCTTTTATTGAAAATCATAACCCCAGAAATAGAGAGAAATAATGACCAAGAGGTACGTGCTTACTCCATAAAACATTAATATTTTAATGAAAAATCTTAGCATCATGTTTCTATCCAAAGACACTCAAAACTAGTTTTTCTTCCCGCTCAATTCTGACTTATAATAGGACCGATTTGGAGATTTTTTAAAAATTTTTTGAAGGATTTTTTTAAAGTTTAAACAACCAGGCTAGCAAAAAAGGTACCCAATACGTAGTCTTCTTATATCAAACAAGCTAATATTTCAGTACAAGGTAACTATACAGAATATATACATTACACAGAGAATCACAAAAGCGAACACTACAGGCTCAGAACAGATTTTGAAAAAACCATGATATTCACATTGATTACAAGAACTCTAGAAATGATTGTAACAGTGAAACGGCACTTTAGTTTACAAAAAGTCACAAAAATATATATATAGCCACCAAGAACTATGGGTTCCTGAAAAATACTAATAGCCAGATATAGTATATAAAATGCAAAGTGTATTTCAACATTAATAAAAACAAACCAATCCAAAAAGTTTTTTTTTTCCCATTAAGTCAATAAACATGCCAATAGCCTAGCGGTGGTCAGCACGAACAAGAAAAGCTCTATGAGATGGCAGCTGGTGACTGAAGACTGGCACAGTTAAAACGGGGAAGGCGACTTGCACAACAGCTGGAATGCCTTTGGAGAATTCCATTTGCACTTCTGACTCCAGCTTTACTCCCTTCCCCTTTAAGGATTCGACAAAGGCCCAGAGAAAGACAAGAAAAGACAGCTGCAAAAGTGGGGCCAGGAAGCACACACTTCCATTAGCTGGGACTTAATCAGATCAAGTTGGCAGCGGGCAGCCGCCTAAATGACTAAAAACAAACTGCATCATCCTTTTAAAGTTTCTCCAAACTCTTATAAAGCAGCTGACGTCCTCTGATACCATGCAGAGAATTTAAAATGAAACAAGAAGTCAGTTATATTAATGTCTTTTGGCATTTATAAATATATGTATTTTTTCTGGAGGAAAAAAAAAACAGCTTTATTTCGCTGATGAGCTGTAGTATTTACTGATTTTGAAAATATATTATCCCCACTTCCTGGCCAAATATGAAAGATCTTAGACCATGGCAGAATAGAAATCTATATCCCAGGCAAGAGCCAGTATCCTACAGAATTTCAGGTCAATGATTATATTAACATTTTGTTCTGTCTGGTCTTTATTGGGATCAGAAAAGCAAGTTTTGCAGAAAGGCAACTGAGGAGCAAAAAAACCGGCATCTCATTTATATCAAATACCACCCAAACCATTCCTGGTATGCCAAGTTCTGCACACTTTAAGAAAGAGGCAGGAATTTAGATCTTACCCCATGTTATCTTGAGGCTGGTGAAGAAAAATTAGTAACAACCCCCCTCCCCAAGCCCTAGGCCAAAGCCACTATTTAAAAATTTGCAAATGCACATTAAAAAAATACAGCTTCGATTCATTTTGGGGGCCAGGGGCTGAGGAATTATAGCTTTATAAAATATAATATATATATATTTGCTACACTGGCACTGGTTACTTTAAAAAAAAAGACTCACATTTATACTTTGTGGACTAACAAGAAGTGTCCACGCTAGAATTATCCTTTAAAGACATAGCAGATTTTTTTTGTATTCTGCATTCGATCTAGAAGCTTAACATTGGTCAGTCTGTGAAAAAGAGGCTGAACTTATCTTCTAATGATGCATCCAGAGGAAACTGAGATATAAGCTGGTGATGAGGATGTGGAACAAGGATTTGACATCTGTATTGCAGTTCTGGGGAACACAATCTCCTCTCCCATTCATTAAATACCTTCTGCTTAGGCATTATTGACTGTCATGAGTCCACACATTGAAAAAAACAAAACATGCTTGCAAATCCTCACTGAAGTATGCGATTTCTGCTCCTTTTGTGGGAACAGCGAGGAAGTATCGGGTGCAGATGGTAGCCCCTTATTTGTACCGTTTCAGCATACTGTGTGGAAACAGATGCTTTCCACTCAATTGCAAACCTCGCTTTCCCACAAATTGCAGAGACACCATACAGTATGTCCTGGTTCTTGGAGCATTATGTAACATGTGCACCTCCAACTGAGTTGTGACATGAATTCCTGCCCATGAACCACAAAACCCAGAAATTTTAGATTAGGTGTCAAAAAAGGATGTTCAATTTCACTGTCATTCACTGTTGGAAACATCTTGCTCACAAATGAAATTCCTATGATGATACTAGGAAAAAAGACAGAGCTTATGTTTAACTGAATCTAAAACCGGGATGGCTGACCTTTTAAAATCTGAATGGCTTGTACATGTTATCTTCCACCTCGATATTTAAGGAAGGTCACTCATGTCTTCTGCAAGGGTTATCGGCGACATCCAGAGATAAGGAGGCCATTTTCCTATGGACAGGGGAAGGCCAGCTGCAGAGAACTGGGAAAAAAGATGGTTGTTGCTCTAGTGGGAAGGAAGAGAAAAAGAATTCCCTTCGTGTTGGCCGGAGCCAGAATTTCAAAAAATTAACCTTTCTGGGATAACAGCTCCCTAAATCGTCCCAAAGCTATAGCCAGTAGTCATGTTGGCTCAGGGATTCTGGGAGCCAGAATTTAGATGTTTAGGGAAGTAGCAAAATTACCATGGGGTCAAGGTGTAGACCAGAGAGCTAACGGTGTCCCACCCGACCTAAAATCTGTAATGCATATAATTTTATCTCGTTAAGTGAACTTATATTTTTAAGCAAGATGTGAATGTGTTCAAGGTCTTTAACACCTAGCTGGTTTTAGATCCTTAACATTTATTGACAGGGTTTCAATTTGAAATGCTTCTAATTGAAGTCTGACTAACAAACAGGTTGAGGATAAAAATAAGGAGGGTAGAAATAAGGAAAAAAGGGGGTATTTGTTTTCATTGGTAAGTTGCTCTATGGGAGAGACAGTATTCCTGTGCATGTATTTAAAAACCTTTCTATGGAAAGAACTGTGAACTGCTACTTTGTTTGGCTGGAATTTTAAAATACTAAATAACTGTGCAAAGATTCCCACTGCCACACAATTCAGCAGTCATGCTCCATCCAAACACTGATTATGTTTATACTTTCTGTGAGGGTAAAAAGAGCTTAAATAGAATTTTGATGAATGCCTTTTAGTCTTTTCTTCACCACTATGTTTTCAGAAATCAGTTTGCTCTTTTAAATCAAATTTTAACTCTACTAATTCGTTAGTAACACAGAAAACCTGTTGCATATGTGCATACGTGTACAATTTGCCAACTAATCCACCTCATACTATACAGACTACATTGTGTGGGCTGAACAAATTCTCTGTGCACAAGAAGTTGAACAGCTACATGACATTTGCTGGACTATCTGTCAAGAATAAATATCTATGCCATTAACATGCTTCCTACACCATTTAGGTTGGTTTTCAGTTCTTTTATTTTAGTCAATGACAGAAGCACCGTATTCCATCATAGACTGGCCCTGAACTTGGGACAGTACTTCAGCAGGAATGCTGCTTGCTGAAAGTATTTTTCTGAAGAGAGATTTTATCCATTTGTTTTTATCTGAAACTGATGGGAAGAGAAACCAAACTCTATTTAATAAAACATTTAAAAATTTTAAAGTAATTCTTTTTGAAGCCCTTTACAAAAGTAGGAGGGAAGTGCAAGAAACAGTCTATTTAGATTTGGTGCATCTGCCATTAGCAGAAACATCACATTTCTTTGAAATGATTACCTCCATAGTTTTCTATAGAATTCTATACTTGTTGCATAAATTTACAGCCCTGCTATTTGGCCTCTTAGGTTACCAAACCATCCCCCCCCCCCAATCAGCCCTTTGTGAATTTCTTGTCAATTTGACGCTCATGTAAAATTCAAGTCTAGTACCTCCTTAGGGAAATCTCATTTTTTATAGCATTAGGTGAAGTATGAGGCTTAGATGTTCGAGGATGCTCAAAAGCATGAACAGAAAAAAAAGAATGGAGTCTAATTCTCAACTTTCAGGCTTTACCAATAACAGAAGATGTTGGCAACAAAATGAAAACGTCTGGCCCCAAAATGCCCTATCTTGTGTTTGCAGCCTTTTATAAACTTAGGAAAAATGAAATGGCAAGAATTTCATATTATTGCTTGTTGGAGCTGTGTATGTAGCCAGAGCAATGACTTTTATGAAACTGGCTTGGCAAGGGCATAAAAATGTTTTAGAATAGGAACATTTTATTATTCTTAACAAGCCGTTTGTAAACAACCCCTGTTGGGTTAGAAACTCAGCCTATAAAGGAAAATAAATTGCTTATTTTATCTAAAAACAGGCTAATAAAACCACAGTTAAGTACACAGATAGATGTATAACCACAAGACAGTACATTAATGCACAGAAACTCTCTTGCTTTTCTAAGTTCTCGTCCTGTCATACTCTCCTATTCCAAGTTCTGAAGTTTAAATAAGAGTTCTCAATGGCAGTGTTTTTATGTACCTCTTCAAAGAATGGAATCTGTATACTTGGACATGTCCCCACTCCACCCTGATTTGCCAAAGCCAATTTATTCAGTTGAAAAAGAAAAAAAAAGATAACCCTAAGGGAAGCAAAGGAACAAAGCCAATTCCTTTCAGGAAAACACAGTCAACGTTCTACCTACGTTTGATATTCTGACTGCTCAATACTTGACAGTGTTCTGAAAATTACATAAAGAGTTATACATTTCTCTTCCTTTACTTGGAGACCTTCAGAAACAGGGTAGCAAAATAATCCTTTCGTGATTAGGTTCAATTTTAAACTAAGAAAATATAGCAGTAATTTGTGTGTGCTTAACACTTTAGAAGTGCATGCGATGCTCTGACAGAACCTTAACTGTGCATTTCAGCCTTAAAGTATTTCCACAGAAGTGACCATTTGGTTTGTGAAGAATAGTGTAACATCTGTTGCAGTTTATGGTTTTAACAGCATAGCTTACAGAATAAAAAGGGGGTACATTCTGCTCACCCCCTTCTGAAAATTAAATTAAAGTGTACAAGACCAAACACAGGCACTTTCCAAAAAGACAAAAATGAAACCAAACTTTTTGACTTATTCAATAGTAATAGATGAGAGCCCCGGTTTGAGGGGGTCATCTCGGCTTCCCTCGGCACTTGCAATCATCGTCTTTGGCTGCTCGGGCATGTCTTCTTCCTTTTCTGCCAACCCACCCAGAGGCCCCAAAGGGAAAGTGCTTTCACAATTCTGAGTTGACGAGACCTGTGAAATGACAGGCATCTGGACAGAGGAACTGCTTTCAAATCCATGCTCTCCTAGTTCATACTGGCCGAGGGTCTCTTCTTGTTCTTGGTTTAAGTAGTCCGGTACTAGGAAATCACTAAAAGGGAGGTAAAATGTCAGGAGAGAGTTACTTGTTAGAAGAACACTGAATAGGTTTCGGCTGGCTTTAGCCATTGTACACAGGAAACTAACTTCATAACATAGCGTTACAACTCCTTCAGGAAAAGCTGTCACTATGGCTACTGTAGGAACAATCTTCAACTACTTTCAAGTGGTAAATGACATCCAATAGTCAACTAACTCCTTTGGAGTTGATCACAGTGTGGTTTAGTGATCAGCATCATCTTTATGCTACCCACAAAGCACTATTCTCAGATGGCTGTTCTAGCATGAAAAATTGTAACGTGTATCAACTACAAATGGCCTCCATATATATGTCTAAACTAGTAAGTTGTTCCTAACTTGCAAAAAATTCATGTAGAAGGTCCTTTTTTTGGCAGACTGTCCAGTAGCAACTTCATAACTCAGATGTGGATTCAAATTCTGACATCTGTCATGATATTTGAGAAATGTGCAGCACATTATCAAATATCTTCATTGTCAAAAAAAGAGCCAAGATTTTTCTGGTCAGAATCCTGTTTGGTTGTGCCTAGACTAACAGGACTCTACCATTTGATTCTGCGATCGCTTGCATAGTTCCCATTGCAACCGTTGCCCAGTGTGTCTGTGGACGGGCTTTGTGAACAGTGTTTCTGCCTTGGCATGACCAGAGCTCCTGTCTGTATCATTAGAGCTATCATCTTGTGCAGAGTTATGCAAGTCTGCGTTTCTGTATTATTAGGAACAATCGATGTAGATTTTAATAAAATAAAAAGAAACTGGAAAAGCTACATTTGGAGCACCGCTGCTAGAACCTGAACAGTTCTAATGATGCTGGACCTGAGGCAACTCATCAGAGAGCCAAGGTGAGAGCGGGGAAGAGAGAATTTTTCCAAGGAAAAGGCCTTGCTGGGCTTGAGACTACAGATTTAAAACTGATTGGTGACTTGCAACAAAGATACAATAAAAGAGGGATTGCCGAAGTTCTGAATAGGTAAAATAACATACTTTGCACACAGTGCTTCAAGGAACTTTACTCTTCCATGACACTGGATGATACTGGATTCCAAAGTCAATGGGTCCAACCCAATGAAAAATATTTTTACTGGACTAAGATTACACAGAAACAGTTTCAGCTGATAGTCTTTTGGACAATTCAACATTTGTATTCAAGCTGGTGAACAGAAAACTAACAAGGACTTAAAAGCAACACAGGAAAATGTTAAATTCAGAAAAATTAAATTTAAGTAAAAATACACATAGGTTTTGTATCTATGACAGAGTCAGAATAAGAAACCAGCATGGCATACATAAACGATAGTTACAGATTCAAAACAAACTGAGAAACTGCTCAAGCAAAAATAATCATTTTAATGCAAGAAGAAGCTAATTTAAAAGCAGGCACTAACACAATAATTGATAGTAAACCTGTCTGTAATAGCAAGTTTTAGGGTGTCCTACTCCATTCAAAATAAAGTGGCTTTAAGCCCCACTGACTTCCAGGGTCAAGTTAAGTTTCTCCTTTTAATCTTTACAATTTAAATGATCAACCTTCTTTCTGCAACTGGTACAACTATCTATCCCAATCACAGAAGAGCAGTTAACCCTAACTAGACTTTATTCTGATTACATCAGCCAAATAAATGCCATTTTCTTGTTCTGGAATACATCTATTAAAATTGGTCAAGAAAGCAAGGAGGCAAGAAGGGAATGTTATACTCAGCTTTAGAGTGCACTGCTCACTGATACTCCTGGATCATAAAAAAGAGCAGGCTATTAAAGGGAGCCAATTTAAATGCATCCGTTTATACAACTGCAAAGCAGAATAAAGACAGCTAACAAGAGGGATGTAGCAGCCACATGGACAGCAATAAACTGGCAACCTAATGGGGGGAAAAATAGTACAGGTCACCCCTAAAGCAGGAAGAGATGGTTTAGGAAAAAAAGAGCACGTTTCCCTGAGAGGTTTTTGTTTGCAGTGCACCTCACCTGCTCTGGAAGTAGTTTGCTAGCTCTGACGCTTCATGGTTCAGACTCCTCAGATGAACGATTAAATTTCCAGAGTTGGTGAACATGGCGCCACATGTTTTGCACTCGTAAATCCGAGGCTTGCGGATAATGTGCCGGGAAACCCGCATATGGTGTTTATATTCCCCGAAGGAAGTGAAAGTGGCACTACATATCTGGCACCGGAAACAGCGTTTACCTTCGTGCTTCAGGCGATGCATCTTTAGCGAATAAGCCCGGGTGAACTTTTTCCCACAACGGTCACACTGAAATGGTTTAATGCCTGTGGGAGGACAAGAAGAAATTGACTCTCCACAACTAAAACCACCATGGGCAAAATTCCAGCTGCTAGCGAGCGGAATGGCAGCAGCCCTGTTCACATACACAGAAGCTTTATCTGCCCTGTCTAAAAACAGAGGTGGCAAACTTGGCCAAAGCTTTAGAGCAGCAGCAGCAGTTACTGTATTTCCAGAAGGTGGGGTGTGGTGAAAGTAGAATCTTTGAATCAAGTAATTAGGTAAAACCTAAAGTGATCAGACAGAGGATTTTAAAAAGGGAATGCCAGAATCAAAATCACATGACTTGGCGACTTTTCCTGTCTACAGCGTATTTTTCAGTGGTTCATGATCTCTTTATAATACTTTCCTCTTAACAGCCAGGGCTCAGATAAAGTCTCCCTTCTTTGCTCTGTGTTTCATAGGTTGATGGGAATCAGTGCACTCTAAGGCTGCAATCCTAACACAAACTTAACTGGAAGTAAGTCCCACTGAAGGGAACACAACATGCTTTTGAGTAAACACTAGAAGAGACTGTACTGTTTTTGTTTAATCACAAACAGGCTGCTTTATTCAGCTCTCTCCTCCTGTGGGATGATCAACACCACCACCACCATCATCATTAATAATTTCTGAAGGCTAACTCCAACAACCATGTTCTTATGCCCAGCGGCATGCCTTGTCAACAACTGACAGGCAGGACAAAGCTGCAGTAGCATCTTTCAGAAAGGACACATTACTTACCTACAGTATAACTGTGGTTCTTCAAGTGGTCATCTGTGAATTTATGCACATGAGTACTTCTCCACCTGCACAGAATATTTTAGGAAAATTCTAGAGCTTTAAACCCCTCCTCTCAGTTAATGTACCCCTTCACCCAACTGTTGCTCTTCACTTCCCTCTATCCAACATCTCAGTGTAAACAGAAGTAGTGTGACAGAGGGGTGGTTGGGTGAACTCACAGATGACCATTCAAAGGACCAGTTACAGGTAAGTAATGTATTCTTCTTCTTTGTGGTCTTTGTGATTCACAAACATGGGTGACTCTCAAGCTAATTTATCAATGGGTGGGATGCCACACAAGAATAGAAAACAGCACCATATGACTGAACAATGCCTACAATTTGGTTCTAATGTCGAACGTATAATGGTTCAAGTTGCAGCCTTGCAAAAGTCCTAAAATTGGATCTCTTTTAAAAAAGTTATCAAAGCTACTGTAACTTGAGTCAAATGTTCCTTCAAGATAACAGGCAGAGGGCATTTGGCTAACTCATAGGACAATGGTACAGCTTTCGTTATCCAATTAGATAGTCTTTGTGACAACACTTGTTCACCATTTTAGTTTCTTGGTAACAGTCAATTAGTTTCCCTAAAACAACCTGCTGGTTTGTATCAAAACTCAAGAATACTTTATGTCAGAATGAAACTGTCCATAAACAAAGACACTTTATCTTTATGAAACTGTAAGGTTTGTCACAAGTTAAGAGGAGGGAAGTTATAAGGTAAGCAATACACAAAAAGAGTAACTGTTTCAAAGAGAATACTCCCTCCGAACTCTTTGAAAATGCTGCCTGGAGGGAACTGAGGAGCGGTCATTGGGTGGAATGATATATTAGCTGAGATGAATGGTGAAAGTTCTAGTATGTTTCCAAGACCATCTGCAGGCACAAAGGAACCCAATGTGTGAATCACAGAGTCCACAAAGAATCATAGTTCAAAGATGCTTGTTAATCCACTGTCACTTTGAGACAAAAACTGAAAAACTGTTTAATTATTATGGTTTTAATTACTATGAAAACTGCAACTCATAGGTTGATTCAAACCACGCTTATTCATGTGATGAATACTGTTAAAATATATTGTAATGCTTCCTCTTCTCTGGTGCACAACTCCTAAGTTTATTTTCTGTGAAATGGGGAGAACACCATGACTACCCTCCTGCAGCAAAGATGTATATTTCAGAACAATGTACTGTATTTTCCCCACATTACATGCAGATGGGGGGCAAGACAGATTTTTTTTTTTACTTTATACAGTGGATATTTATAAAGCAATTGTTCCCAACCTTGGGTTCCCAGATGTTCATGGGCCACGACTCTCAGAAATCCTGGCCGGAACAGCTGAGTGGTAAAGGCCTCTGAGAGTTTTAGTCCAAGACCATCTAGGGACCCAAGGTTGGGAACTACTAATATAAAGATTTAAAACGTAGCTGCAGCACACTTTGCCAGGCACATGTACAAGTTCTGCACTGTGCCAAATCCACAAAGTGGAACACCACTACTATTTATAGAGGTATAGACTAGTTCCACAGTCTATTTTTAAGGTTTCTATACTTTGAAGAAAAGTACTGTACTGTATAGACTGCCGATGGGCTTTCCAAGTGCTACCAGATATATTCTTTAAAACATAGGGGCACATGATCAAGCTACGTCTTGCCGAAAGACAACAACGAAAATTCTTACCTGAGTGGATAAGCATGTGCTGTTTTAGGTTCTGAATACGAGTGAATCGTACACCACATGTTGGACACTGAAAAGGTCTATCAGGGCCATTTGGGCTGGGCCTCTCTGTGCTACTGGTTGAAGGAGCTATATACAGCTGGTAAGGATATTGAACATTCTCCAATCTGAAGAAACAAGTAATCACTCTTTAGAAGTAGATCAAGGAGAAAAATGTGAACTATCAAAATGCAAATATGAATGTATGCCCATCCTCTAAATGGTTATTATGCCTACAGTGGAAGCCTGGAAGAAACTGATAAAACTGCAGATGGCCAATGCATGAAAATTAAGATGTGTTATTAAAATATTTTCACAGTGACTCTGCAATTGAATAATTGCTACTTGTAATCATTTCAGGGAAGCCATGATGGATGCATATCAAAAGGGTATAGATGGTGCATACATTCTGTCAACCCAGCATGGTATAAGTGGGCAACTGTCCCTCCAAATGTTTTTGGACTACAGTATTCTGAATCCTTCCTCAAAGACTGTGTCTGATAGAACTATAGACAAAAACATCTGGAGGACTTCTGCAGTCCAAAAAGTGCACATATGCAAACACAAAACAAACAAAAAAATGGGAATTTTGAAAAGGAGAAGTTTTAAAAGCAGTAAATAACACAATAAAAGAAGCTATGGACTTAATATTTCCTTCTTCTTCTTCTTCTTCTTCTTCTTTTTTTTTTTTGCTACCCTTACCTATGGTATTCTCTTTGAAAGTACCCTGGGACAAGGAAGGAATTAAGAATCGTGCACATGTCCATGATAAATCATAATAGCATTTAATAGACAAAAATAGTTATTTGCTTCCTCGACAGCCATCTGCTATGCCAAGGAGCTCAGTAGTTGTCAGGTTAGGATAAGAAACTTAAGATTATGACAGAAGCTTTGTGACTGAGCAGGAACTTGGACACTGATGTCTCCAGCTTAAGACTACTGTAACTCCATATTTGTTCTGTGTTAATATATCAGACAATTTCTTAGCACCAATCATACAAAGGAAAAAGTTCAGCACGTGCACGAACTTTTGAATGATTGTGTTGAGGAACAGAGAAAATTTTCACTTCTCTGGTGAATTTTAAAAGCATACTACATATCTCCAAATGGCTGTGTTCCATCACTTTTCTGTCTCCTTTATAGAACATGAGGTGGACTGAATACTGTATATTAAATTGCCTCCTTTTATTGTGAACATTTCCACCTTTTGACTGAGGGAAGCTTATCAGAGGATTTGAATGCTTCTGGCATGGAATAAGCATTCATTGCACTGAAAGCACTTAAGTGTACATCTCTTTCTTCTTCAGTTTAAAAGACAGGTCTCGGAATCACCTCAGCATACAATCAAGCATTGAGCTTTGACTGCCCTTCTCAAGCAAGCGGAACCTCACACATTATTTGTAACTTTTTAAAACTATAAGTATATGTTATTATACACACAGTCTCAGGCATCGCAGCATATTAGGCCCTACAGAAGAAATCACATGGTATTGATACATACCGCTCATCATCATCTGCATGAACATTACTACCAGAGGTACTCTGGAGAGTTGGCAATCCCTCGGTGACCCCTTCATCTATTGAACCTGGACAATCAAAGAAATAAATTAGTCTTCAATTTGATGGAAATATCACACACACCCCATCTGGTAAAAACGAACTATCTTTGGCTGCTGTTCTTTCACAAACAGCAGCACCTAGAAGTCTTCACAACACTTTGCTAACACACTGCTGAGGATAGCCTCAGAACTCGTTCAGCAGTTAAAATATACATTTCAAAATTACAGAATATGTCATAATTAGTTTGCTATGCTGTAGCTAAAAAGGATTCCTGGATGAGAAGAGGAATCAGGTATGTGCAACTGAATGTAGAAATGCTATCAAAAAGTCAAATTTATTATTTTAAATTGTGTCCATAGACAGATATTGACATATTCAAAAGTGCACTACATAGAGGTAGAGAAATCAAAGAGCCAATGAAGCAGCAGTAACTGAAACCCAACATTTCCCCTATGCAACCTCCCAGCTCTGATCATCTCCAACAGTATCTTGTTTACAGCAAGTGTATTTCCAAATCATACTCAGTCCAATGATTTGAAAGCAAGTTTTATGAAACAAAGAGGATTTACTTCAACTGAAACAGAATCAGCCCACATTTTTTACATTTCCACTTTGCTTAGACTTAATTCTACGCCTTATTCACATAATTATACTGTATCATATTTTCAGATGCTAGGTGGCGGTGGTAGTAGTAAACAATATTTTATGGAAAGAACACCATGGAAAAGATTACTGGTGATAGCAATCAGTGGTTTAGCCACATCACGCTTAGACTCTGATTACTGGAGATCTTAAAACTTTACATGTCTACTTCTCTTAGCCTGATTATGTTTGTCATTTCATCGCTGAAGTACCAGATCTTGTCTGGCTGATTATTAAGCTATAGCTAAAATTCAAATCATACAGTGGAACTTCTGAAAACATAGTGTCCAATTGAGTGTTGTTTTTTTAATTAAAAGCCCAGCAGCCATTGCAGTAATTCAGGATCATGCCGTTTGTTGCAGATGTAGTGATCTCAATGAAGGAAATCTGCTCTTCTCTTGCACAACAGTAAACATGACAAACAATCAGTGCAATCCAGATTTACTACACCAGTGGGATTTTCAACTGAGCAGAAGCTCAATAAAATACTGGCCGATATGTTTAGCGTTAAGATGTTAAGTCTACTATTTAAATAGTATACAAGATATTTGTGCAAGTCATACTATTTTACTTACACACATGTAAATCACTGGCAGGACTCAGACCAATATATTTTTGTAGGGAGTAGCACAGAAGGAAATTTCTAGTGGACCATATGCCACATATACATTCAAACACTGATATACCCACTTCCTGCAGCAGACATTCTTATTGGGCGTTTTGTGCCACATTTATTTATTTAAAATATTTTTACCCTGCTTTCTTCTTATGAAGGATCCAAGACAGTTTACATCATTAAAAGACAATGTTTAAAACTAAAAACAGTATGTATACAAATACTAAAAAGGATCAAACAAATACCACACTAAAAGACAGTAAACAAAAACACCAAAAACATTCAAAACTGTAAGGTTCAACTATCTATTTAAAAACCCCACTCAGGCAGCCAGTCATTAAGGGAGAGCTTGCCTGGAGAGAAAGGTCTTCGCTGGCTTGCAGAAGGAGAGCAAAGATGGGGCCAACCTGGTCTTCTATGGGAGGAAGTTCCAAAGCAGCAACAGAGAAGGCCCTCTACCATGGGCCAACAGCTTGTTGCACTATGATGTCTCACCCCGTCTAATTAACTCTTTAAATTATTTTTGAATTATATGAAATTGAAGGTACCTTAACGAAGTAGTAAAAAGCACTGGATCATAATAAACTAATTTCAAAAACTGACATTGTATGCCTGGGTTAATTTTTAAAACAATCATTGCCAATACTGCCTCCATTCACCTCCCCATACCACGGCTGTGCGATATTAAAATCTGTTTTTATGCCTCCAAATTACCAAAAGAACTAGCTGCATTTGAAGGTCTCCTAGAATAGCTGTTTGCTGTGGTTCAGCTATTCCTGCAGAAGCAAAATGTCACAATTCAGTCCATTAAAGGAGCTCCCAAAGCAAGTACTGACAGGCTCCAGACTGCTCACCCTGAAGTGACTTGGAAACCCTTGGCTGCTGTGAGGTCTGTGTGCCTATCTAGAGCCCTTACAAAGCTTTTGATAAGATCCTTCAGCTTCTAGACTGGTAAGCTATTGACTAAATTATATCAGAAAACCGTGAATTCCCCAATGATTGATTTCAGTTAGGTTTATTTATTTGATGAAGTTTCTGTTTTGTCTTAAGTGATGCAAGTACCTATATGTAACTGTGTTCATGTAATTATTTTTAATAACCAACCACACCTCTCTAGCAGTTTCTTCCTTGTAGTCTTACTGTTATGTTTTTAAGGGTATGGGGTCAGATTACATCAGTTGAGTGAATCAACATCTTGGTAAGGGCTGCCAAGAATTAAATCCCATCTCTTTTGTTAATTTATAAACCATGCCTTCACATTTCTGACAGACAGGATATAAAATGCCTGGTAAAGTAACAATACATTCGTATTTGTGTGCCTTCTACTCAAAATGACTCATAACAAATAAGTCTGCAAAATGCAGACTTATGTAGGTGAAGCAATTTAATTTGAATAGAACTGTGATCAATATAGAATGTCAGCATAAAGGCTATTCAAAGCATGATGTAAAAGAGCAACAAAAATATGGCAAAGCATGTGTTGCTAGAACACTATTCCTGCTTCCTTAAAGCAAGGATGCAGCTGAAGCAGCACAGCCATATGGTTCAGAGATTTCCTTTTAGAAAAAATAAAGGCAGAGGCAAGTCACTACTGCCTATCCACCAAGGCTGAACTGTAAGTATACTTAATGGTGATTTAGACACCATGAACTCAATGGCACCTGCCATTCAGACTGATTGTTTTTTTTTAAGGCCCAGGTGTAAAGGAATCAGTGGCCATTCACTATTATGACAATACTGTGTTTGAAGTATGATGAAAAGTATCAGGTGGCACCTGCCATTCAGACTGATTGGTTTTTTTAAGGCTCAGGTGTAAAGGAATGAGTGACCATTCACTATTATGACAATCCTGTGTTTGAAGTATGATGAAAAGTATCAGCACCATGATGTAACTTATTTGAATTGCTTGGGGAAAAATCCCTACACTATATAAAACTCTTCCATATAGTCTCCAATAAAACCACAATGAAGCATACATAAATGCAAGTCTACCTATAGACGATGACTGTGGGCTGATCAAAAGGTCCTCTTGGACTTGCTCACTTCCTGGAACCGTCTGCTGATCACTCAGAGAACTTTGGGATGCACTGACTGGCTGTGACACTTCCTCGTGGACCTCCTCATCACTCAACCTTTCCACTTTTACACGCACATCTTCTTCAATCACCAGAGGTGAGCTGGCTTTTGTGCTCTCACAGGTCACATAGTCAGCAATTCTTCTAGATGCTTCAGATGGACCAGGCACTTCTAGAGTCCGAGAATTTTCTACTTGCTTCACTTTCTCTGACTGAAGTCTTCGGTCTATTCCAAAAGGGAAAGTCCAAGGGAACGCTAAGGAAGAGTCTACTGGGTGGTTTCTAGACTCTCCATAGGAAGCTGAAGGGTTCAGAACCTGTGGGGAATTTGTCTGAGTGCTACATTTGAGTGGACTTTCTGGTGACATTACTATGTAGCTTTTGCGCTTCCGCCGTGACTCTCTACAAACAGGAATGGTCCTTTCTACCACACTGCATTCTGAGGAAACGGGGGAAAGGCTGCCATCTCGAGAGGTAAAGTTGCAATTCGCACTGCTTTCTTGTCCTGTATCTAGCACCTTTTCTTGCTGGCTACTCGGGGTGTTCCATAAAATGCTTGACTTCATAAACTCGGAACAGGTGCTAGCAACACTGAACATTTGCATATAACTAGCTGCAGCCAACACATCAATAATATTTTCTGTATTAATAGATAATGTTGCTGTGTATGCATACTCCAGAAGGGGCATGAATCCAGTCACGGTCACATGATGCAGATCAAGTACACTTTTGCTGTCCTCCTCTGCTTGGCCTACCAACTTAGAACGGAAGAAGTCACTGCAGGCTGCCAGTACCACCTTGTGTGCTCTGAAAATTTTGTCTTGGACACGGATAGTGATGTCGCAGAAATGTCCATCATTACGCAGCATGTTGAGCTTTCCAAGCATTTCCTGGCTGTGAGCAGGGGAATTGTGGGTAAATGTTTTAACACCCATTTTCCTGCTTTTTCCAGTAGCCACAAAACAAGTGATCGAAGAGGATCTAGAAGAAAAATGTCCACAGTGAAAATGCAATTTCCTTAAAGATTAATACTACTACCTAAATTATGTATGCATTTAACAGTGAAAACATCTAAATCCCTGGAAATTAATTGGAGAACATGTCATTACTGGGTCATAAAATCTAACTCCTCCCAGACAGTAATAGAATTTATATGCTATTGCAGACCAAAAAAATTGTTCCCTGTGTTGTCTGCAAATGAGAAGGATGCAAGATTTAAATTCTGTGTTCTGACTCGTTGAGGAAAAAGCTTTGAGATCATGACCACAGAAACTGACTCGCAGTGCAAATGCACTCTCTTTCGCTGGTATAGTTTGTGAAAAAGAATCTGTTGTTTCTTGTTACATTTGAATCAAGTCAAACTGTCCCTTCTTTAAATAAGCAAAGATAAAACTGTGTTTCAGTTTGTTACAATTTGCCATAGTTAAAAAAAAAACACATCCTCATACTATTCCATGGCCATGATGACAGGGGATGATGGGGGTTCAATGGAAGGGCAGAGTTTGTACGCAATGGAAAATGTCACAAATTAAACCAAGAGATGGGTGATTTCAATCTTCCCTTGATACGTATGCCAGCAAAGGAAAGTGGAGAGGAGAGGACTTAAACTGAAAGTTTAACCCAGCATTTTCTTGTAATTATAAATTATTGTTTAGAGTTATACGAAAACTGGGTTGCTGGTCCTGGTTGTATAAAGTATAAATCTCAACAAAGAGTTCCTTAAAAACATGAAATTCCAGTTTGATTAATATTTGACAACTGGGCTAGGACTAGAAGAGAAGCTTTGTCAGCAAAACAAAGGTACGGCACAGGACCGTGCAACTTTACTTTATTCACAAAAACATTACAACACATCTGCTGTTCAGAGTGTCTTAAGGCAGCAATCCTATGCACTTTCCTGAGAATAATTTCCACCAAACACAGCAGCACTTTACCGTAAAGAGACATAAAACTTGGCTATCAAATATCCAGACTGGACTACCTATGGTTTCTACAAAGATACTGTAGTTATTCTATGGCTGAAATCCAATATACTAAGTCGCAACTACAGCAGGCCCACTGAATCAGTGGGGATTTGATGAGTCAGATCCTCTGCATGTTCCATTGATTCAACTGGCCTACACATTTACAAATATATAAATATATGGTAGAATTTTTAATTTTTTTGTCCATTTTTCTGTCAGTTTTGCCCACTCCTATTTGAAAATACTTTCTCATTCTTAAACTAGCATTTTATGTATTCAATACACAATGAAAACTGGACTAAATCTAATGCTCATAAACATTCTATTCTCTTGCACCAAGCACTGGCTGCACAATATTTTTTCTGAGTGAAACTGGCATAGCTTCTATCCTGCTGAATCTGAAGGCAAAAAACCCTGGATTTTGCCTCTGAATTCCATCAAGGAAATTTCGGACATTATGCATGAAAACTCAACCACTGGGAATTTCCTGCGCATTGTACTTATCATGTTCATGTAATTTAAAGATTGCATTCCAGAATATAAACAATACATATAATACTGCTACATGCTAACCTCATTAAAACATACAGTATACTGTACTAAGTAGGCAGGGAAGCTTGCAATCCAATAACAAGAACAACAACAACAAAACAGTATTATCAGGGCTTGAAAATTTTTAGAATGTCTCACCAGTCAGTCAAAAATTTCACCAGTCAGCATTCAGCCTTGCAATTTATGTTTAAACTTCAATTTAAATTTAAACTAGGCACTTTCTCTATATTAATGCGTACAAAACCAAAATAAATATACCCTCAGACTTGGGATGCTTTATTACCTGTGTGCCTGTGGGGTATTTTGAATGCCTTTCTTTTGAATGTCTCAAGCAAAAATAAAACTGAAAGCAAAAGGCCCCGGCCTCTTAAGGAGCCAGGTTGTTCAGTTGAAATTTGGAGCAGGGGATCTCCATATTCTCCAGCATGGGACTACTCTACATTCTCCTGCAGAGTTATATATCTATGTACCACTCAAACTCTCTTCTGGGGAGGGCTGTTTTTCCTTTTGCAATGGGAAGGGGGAGGAGAGGACTGCAGGATCAGAGAGACGACTGAGGATAAGGAGGGAGGGAGCTGTGGCTCGCCAAGCAGCGTTTTTTCACTTGCCACAGACGAGTGGATTTTTCAGGCCCTGAGTATTATGCTACAAAAAAGTGGATGCTGCTGGGTATCGTGCCTCATTCCTTCTTGGATGTTCACTCTCCTTCCCTACCTGTTGAGCTGTAGTGTTGAAAGGACCTTTTGTTTCAGCAGATGAGGAAGGAATACAGCAAGATAAAGTAGCTGCATCTCTCTTATTACATAAGAATTGTCAGAAAGCTAAAATGACTTTTAGCAGCACTGTTAAAGACCTACTGAAAAACACCTGTGGTTTCCAGGGCTTCCCTACCTACACAATGCAAAAATACTCAAAACCTGTCATTTCAATAACTCTGCTTCCAAGTGCTCCTCTTATGCAATCTATGAAGCCTACAGCTTGTAAACATAAAGGAAGATATAATGGGGACCTGGATCACAAACTTATTTTTTTTTAAATATGTCTACACACACAAGAACTACTAGGAAACTACTAGGATGTAACTACTGCATTCATTCTATGTTGAAGCAATGAAATTGGCTAATGGGATAATACAGAATCTTAGATCTTCTCTAAATCTGCTATGAGAATACAGTACCAACTTCCCTGAAGTCCATAGTTTTGGTTCCTTAATCAGCTAGGAGACTAGACTCTAATCTAGCAAACAACTAAGAATAAATAAGCCTGCCACAACTCACTGGGCCTTAGTAAAATGATTAAATTACAGTAATTTTAAGAAATCACAACTATATTTGTTATCCTTGAACACAGTATAGAAAAGAATATTGCTCTTCAGAAACCTTACAAAATGCTAACTCTTCCAGCAATATTTCTTCAAGGGGTGAGTTAACATTTTCAAGTGTTGTAAGAGTTAATAATTGCTCCACCTAATACTGCTGCTGCTTTCAGTAATACTCACAGACTTCTAAATATAGCACAACTTTCTCCTTATGCTGGCATGGGCATCTCAGGTCAGCTTCTTAAAACAGCCTTATCTGAAAGATACAAGTTTAGATAGTGAATGGCTGTCTTTAAGAAGCTGCCCTATTCAAGATATATCTTAACAGCTCTTGGGTTTTTTTCATGCTGGTTGCAATTCTCTACAGAGTTAATCTGCTAATTTCAACTGAAGTCAAGAGGATTTATTTTTATTTAAGGCTTTCCTAAAGTATCTTTTATAAAATTTTATCCCATGAAGATTTGTAAATCAAATCAACAAAAACATTAAAAATACATGAGATAATAGGATATTCTTTTAAATGTTACAAACATCAATAGTACCATGCAGAGGCTATTATACTCTACACACCGACATAAAGAAAGCCTCACTGAGCTAACTTCATAAACACATTTACTTGGAATCAAGTATTAACACCAATGGTAGATAGCTAAGTATACTAAACCTATATTTATTTTATTTATCCTGCTCCTGAAAATACTCCAGGAAATACAGCATAAATTGAATTTTGTCCTGTCAAAAGCTATTTCTGAAAACTGTAAAGCTTCCATCTTCAGGTCTTCATTTTAAATTGCAGACTTCAGAAAACTTTTTAAAAATTCTTTAGTTGACACAAGTTTCTTAAGTATATCCATTTCTCAAGTATATTTTCAATGTTGTAGTTTTCCAGTTACAGTGGTGCCTCGACTTACGAATGTCCCAACATACGATCATTTCGAGTTACGACCAGCTCCGGCTGCAAAATTTTGCTTTGACTTGCGGCCGGAGCTTCCCGTTACAAACACCAAAAAGGCAGGGAAAAAGGCGGGAAGAGGCTGATTCTTTGTAGCTCTTTTGTCCCAGCAGTTAGAGAATGCATGATCGGAGGAGGCTTCGGACTGCCTGGTAAGGTAAGGTATTGCTTTCTGCTTTCAAAAAACTTTTCTTGGTGGGTTTTGCAGTGTAGTTTTGGGCTGGGGGGGTTATGTTTCTGTGCTGTGATGGGTCTTGGGGGGTTTTAGTTGCTTTTTGGAGTTTTTTTCCTATTTCCGATGGGTCTTGGGCAGTTTGTTTGGTTTTTGTTTTTTGC